CAGCCCCAGTACCTTGGTCCTTAAAGGTCTGCATGATGACAACGCCATCTTCTGGGAACTTGGCGATGCTGCAGCCAGAGGCGTAATACACTAGGGAGGCAGAGATGTGGGTGTCAGGGGCCACGGCACACTCAACACTCGTGTTCAGAGCCCAGCTTGACCCAGTAGGCTTTCTTTACAACTGGTAGCGCTTTCAACACATTTTTTTCACTCTTCAGAGTGGCCACTGCCTTGTCACAATTCAGTATGAGCGATTGCCTTACAGTGCAAAGGGTTTTTAATAAAAAAACAACAGTAACACAGGTTTCTGAATGGAGCTGTCAGACATGGAACCACCCACCCACACCAGGGTGAGCGCAATCACCACTAACAACACTCAGGTGTGGTTCCAGAAACTCCCGCGAGAAGCTTCTTTCCTACAGAGGCCTCCACCAACCGAACATTACAAACAAGAAGCAGCTGTGAGTTATTCACTACGGAGAACATGGTATGTGGACCATGCTAGAGATGGTATCAAAACGAGGAAGGCTTGTAGACATCAATTTCGTTCCAAACCCGGCCAGAACTAACGTGCTGACACAGCACTTCACAGAACCTTCCTGAAAACGCTGTCATGCCCCCCACATAGCACGCTGACTCGGGAGTCATGTCTCTGTGTTACAAGTCCCCACCCCCCCAACTCTGCACGCACAGGACTAGGAGTTGACACAGACGCTTACTCTCATGGTTTGCCAAGGTGAAGTCCCCCTCGTACAGGCCGTCACTGAAGGCCATGTTCCAGACCGAAAGCAGCTCGTTGAGGGCAGGGACGTTGGCACCCCCCGTGTCGGGCATCCACCACTGTCTGTGAGGAAGGAAGAGGTGTGGGCCTGAGCCTCCAGAGAACCACCACCACTGCCCACACCAAGGCTGCAGGGGAGGCCACTGCACCCATGAACACCGCAATCAGTGTGCAGAGCTAAGGGACAGTGCTTGGGAAACGCAAGTCCACCCTTGACTGAAGTCCCCCCAGGACCGCTTTCCCCAGATTAGAAAGGAGGGGAGGACAGGGGGTGGGAAACCAAGGCATCAAAGTAAAACTCGGAGACTGTGCAAAGTCCCGGTATAACGGTCCTACACGGGAAGGCCCGGGCTGCGAACGCTTTCCAGGCTCATCAAGAATCAGTAGGAGTTAGAACAGGCACATCCAGTCCTGCGAGACCTGACGCAAGTGCAAGAGAAGGTCAGACGTCCTCGTCATGGCACGACTTGGTGAGCACAGTGCGAGAACAAGCACTGCTCCGTCTGTTCTACAGAGGGGTCACTAAGAGTGGGCACTGAATCCATGGCACCAACAGTGCTTGGTCCAGCCATTTCAAAGTGAGGGCAAATTTACCCAACAGTAAAGCTCCCATCATGTACCACTGGGTCAGAACGGACTCACAGCGGACCTGCCAGTAGGTTTTCAAGGCATTAAACTACACAAGAGAAGGCCCAGCTTTCTACCGGGGAGCAGCTGAACTTCCAAACAGCAACGCCCCAATCAAAGATGGCGCCTGGCTGGCATGCTTTGAACTCCCAATAGGAGACGTCAAGAGGTCAACTGTTGGCAGCCCGGGCCTGCCTGCATTACAGTGGGATTCCTGGGCCAATACTGAACCTACTGGAAGGTTCTTCTACCCGATTTTTAAAGCTGTACCATTTTATTTACAGGATTAGGCAGTTCCTTTATGTCATTAGAGCTTGTACAGGCGCAGTAAGAGATGGGAAGACAAAAACAACAGAGTGTAAAGCTAAAGGATCTGAAGACCCACAAGGAAAGACGCTGCCTTCTCTACATGAACACTCAGTGGCAATGAGCATGTCTGCTGGCTTTGCAGAGCAGGCCTTAGGGCATCCTTCTAGAACACACGCACTAGACGGAGAGAGCCTTTCCTGATCCAGCTTTCTGAACGTGACTTTCACAGCTGCCACGACCACCAGCAAGTCCAACAATCGTACTGCTGGGTAGATAATGCCTCTACGTTAGACCGTGGATCCAAACGGGAACACTGGGCAGTACCTTGTGTTTTCATCGTAAAACTTGACTTTTCTCATGACCGAGGCGTTGTACCAGTCACTGACGACAATGAGCGAGAGCCCGTGCTCCACGTCCCTCCTCAGTTTGGCAATCTCCTCGGGGAAGTACTCCTCCTCGCTGTCCACCATCAGCAGCGTTCCTGGAGGACAAAGTGACGGTCTGAGAATGGCCATCTCTGCGTGTCTCTTCCTGGGGACAAGCCTCGCAGGCTCCTGGCTCCTGATCGCTCCATTTGTGAAACTCAAAACCTTGAACATTCTGCTCTCAGGTCAGTGTCACCTCAGAGCGCTCTGCAGGACAGAGGGGCCCCCGAGGCTTCCATCTGAGGGGAGCAGCCTCGTCTTCCTCCTGTAGAATGACCCTTCAACTAGCAGTCCACTGCTCAGCCCACAGCACCACCAGCACTTTGCTACCACTGGAAAAGGTGGTGAAAATACAGGCGAGGGCCTCGGATGCACAGGGACCAGCTGGCTCCTCCACTCCTTCAGCATGGAGGCCTGAGGAGGCCCAGTGTTCTTAAGTGATGTCTCACTGAGAACAATTCCCACTACTTGGAACAAAGCACAGCGCAGGAGCTTTTCATTTTTCTGAGAGCACAAATGTCCCTGTCCCTGAGTGGTCTGGAGCTCAGGTCTCAGGTAGACACCCCAACCCCCAGAAGACCGAGGAGCAGGAGGTCTGATCTAATGCCTTCTCTGGCCCCCCCTCCACAAGCGGCCACATGCTGCCTGTCATGTAGACGGCATGACCGCTGTGAATACCACCAGCGTCGGCCAGGGCACACTGCAGGGCCGCACCGCTGCTCACCGTACTGACTGGCATCGAAGCACGTGAAGGGTGAGCCAAGGACCTCGACAAAGTAGCCCATACTTCTCAAGTGCTGGTACATGTCCCTGAAGTTGGTGTGGATGTGGTCGCCATTCCTGAAAGCAGCAAAGCACAGCCCACACGTAACCACTGCTGGCCATGAGAAAGGCTTCTCTGGGGAGGTCAGGGCGGAGGTCTGCACAGTTTGGTCGGCTGGGCTCTCCGACCCACTTTCCATGGGCGTGAGAAGGGCTGCTGGGAGGAAACCCGGTGCAGGGCACAGGCCCCAGAAAGACAAGGCCAGGGGGAAACAGCGGGAGAACGGTCTGTGTGCAGCTGGCTGGAGCATGGCGGGTCAACCTCCAGAAACCAGCCACGCCTGACAGCGTGAGAACACAGGTGCTAGGCCAACCAGGTGGGGCAGAGAACCAAGCCCGTGCCCACGCCGCCGAGAGCCCTCGTGCCCACTGTGCCTGCTCACCAGTCCAGGGGGTCATTCTTCATGCGCAGGTTGTCCCTGGGGAAGTAGCCGGGCGGGTAGCGGAGGTTGTGGTACTGGTCCCAGAGCACGCGCTTGCTCCGTGGGGGGGTGGGGATGATCCTCACCTTGATGGGCAGCTTCACGGTGGAGGTCTGCTCCGCGCCGCTCTTGGCCTGGCAGAAAGAGCCACCTTCAAAGGCCCATGTGCACCGAGCAGTGCCCAGGGACCCTGCTCTTACGAGGTCCCCTGTTTATCAATCTAATCAAAACATTCTGCAGGCAGAACTTCCAATAGCAACCCAGGCATGAAGGGACAGCGTCAAGGGTCACAGCTAGCCCCCTTCAGACTGCTATACGGAGAGGATAGGGACCAACAACGTACAGCACTCGGTCCTGGAAAGCCACCGAGCGGGCTGGCTCCCACCACTCCTCCCGTCCTCTCTGCCGCTGCTCGGCAACAGCTGAGGAAGCCTGACCCTCACTCCCTGGGCAGCTGGCTGATCTTCCCGGCCGCAGGCTCCCACTATCAGGACTACCAGCTGGTCAAGTGCACCTGGCCAGGCCCAGCAGGTGCCAGGAAAGGGCACGAGGAAGAGGCCTGGCACACACTCACCTCCATCTCTGCTGGCGAGGACACGGTGATCATGACATGGCCCTGAGCGATGCCCTCCCAGGAAGCCGCTTTCTTGGTGACAGAAATGGAAATGGCCAGGTAGCCGGACCAAGGCCACAGCACCGGGGAGTAAGAGAAAGCCACTTCGATGTTGTCTCCATTCTGTGGCAAATACGGCTGCCAGTCAGGCTGTAGGGGACAGAGGGTAGCGGGCTCAGACGCGGTGTCTGGAACCCACCTGACCCCTCCACAAGCTACAGCTGTGCTCCAGAAAGGTTCTGTTACATACTCCAAAGTGACCCGTTCGGGGACTTGGACAAGCAGGCATGGACACAGCCGGTGGAGGATGGTCCCCTAGAGCTGTCTGCACACCATACTTTCTGACTGTGGGCCTCCTAGTGTGTGGGGATGATTCTTCTCAATGAAAAAGAACCGCGAGGATGGATAGGGGGGCACATATGCTGGGGAGAGAACGTGTATCTGATTTGAGAACTCACATTAACTGCAAGATCTGAGACATGTTATAAATGGAAAGAATCATATGAAATGGAAGTGCAGGATGCAAACACAGATGTAAACCATCCCCAGGCAAACACTGCAGCTAGAGACAGGCGGGCTAGAGACGGGCAGGCAGAAGTGCTGCTAGGCCTGGCCCACGGCCGCCGGGAATGAGAGCAGGAGCTCGGACAGCTGGGCTCTTGTGACACCTCCAACCCATCAGGCGCTACAGTTCTCCACAGGAAGGACATGCCAACGGGCGGAGTACAGGATAGAGCCATCTGAGAAGATGCTTCCAGGCCTCACATCCTGGGGGCCTCTGGCTCACAGCTTCTGCCCATCTCTCACACCATCTGTCAAGGATGAAAGAATTTCATATCCAACAAGCATACAAAGAAAAGCCAGCGGAAAACAGAACTGAGGAACAAGTTTATAACCTTTGGAACAATCAAACAGATGAGGAAAGCCAACTACATAAAAAGGCCAAACTTTCCTACAACAAAAGAAAAGCTTTTAAGGCACCACCAGAACTGAGAGCAAAGGGCCATGAGGGCCATGACCTAGAGAAGGCTCTCAATGAGACCAACAGAACCTGATAGACAGGGAGACCCATGCTTCAGCAGGAAAACAGGGCAAGGATAGAAAAAGATTTTCACACAAGAGGAAATACGACTTGTAAACAAACCTGAAGGCGACGACCTCACACACACAACACACAAACGTTAAATGCCAATGAAAAAGGAAATTGCTTTTACTTCTCTAACTGGTAGGTGATGTTCCAAAATGTCTATCAACACGTCTTGATAAAGAGAATGTGACATGTACACAGAGGGATATTCCCCGGGACCATTCAGCCCACGCTGACTCACACTGCTACAGGACTGAGCAGGCTGGCCCCATGGTCAAGGTCTCATCTCCATAGATGAAGCAGGGCAGCTGCTGGGTCTGAACTATTAACCTTCTGATTTGCAACTGCAGGCTTAACCATGGTGCTAGCAGCACTCCTAGGGCACGCACCCACCAAGCCTAAAGCCACCCCACTGCCCACAGGTCCGTGCTGACTGACAGCACCCCACCCTGGGCATTTGAGGTGGTAAATCTTTACAGCTGACCTTTCATTTAGCAGCCGGACACGCACTACACAAGCAGGGCTCCTGGGCACATACCAGGAGTGAGCTGCAGGGGTGAGTCTAGTAGCCATGTATATCATCAGGTCTACTCAGAGCCACCCCCCAGTATCCCAGGCTGTGACCCCTGTCCTTTCTGTCATGGACGGGTTGGAGGTTTGAACCATCGACGTTCAGTCAGCGGCTCAACGCTGCAGCACTGTACCGACACTTGCAGGAATGAGGTAGGTCACATAGACAGTGTCACGGGACGCTGAAAGGCCGAGGGAAAGCAGCCAGGTACAGCCCACCTCCGCAGTTCAGTCCTATGAAATCTAAGCACTGGGGTCCTGGACACGGGCCAGGTGCAATGGGAGGTGGTGGGGTGAGAACATCCTGAAATCAGATGGCAGGACGGCTGCATGGCTTCATGAAGACACCACAACCCACTAGCCCGGGCCCTTCAAATGAGTGATTCCCACAGCATGTGAATTATACCCCAACTTAAAGACTCGAAGAATTTAAAAATAAAGATGTTGTCCTGTCTGATACAGGCACAGAGGAGTCCACCCAGTCCCCCCACGCTGTCCACTGGACAGCAAGTGGAGGGGGTCACAGTAATGTGCCTCGCAGGGGAGGAGGCAACGCCCAGTACCCCGTCCCGCGCTGTCCAGTCACATAACTCCCCTGGACACCGAGTGGAGATGCCACAGTAACACGCCTCCCAGGGGACCACACTCAGTACCCCTACGCTGTCCAGCAACACGTAACTCCCCTGGACGGAGAGTGGAGGCCTCACAGTAACGCGCCTGGGGAGGGGGGCACACCAGGGCTCTACGGCAGTGAAACAATACAGGGGGAAGGAGAACTGAACCTGCAAAGACACTCAATGAAACAGTCACCACCAAAGAGCTGAAAACCACCTGTTGTCCAAACAGGTACAACCGCCAACAGATCATGTCGATCTGTGCTGTGTCTGTGGCTGCATTTTAAAACATTTACAATTTACTGACTACTACAAAAGATAAGGGGCACCCATGGTGGACAGTGTTGGCTGGAGCTTCCCGATTAAATCAAGCCTGGAAGCAGGAGCGGCATCCACTTCTGAAATGGCTTGCCTCCGGAAACTCTATGTACGAACAGTGCTCAGGCCGTTCGTTCATAGGGTCGCTATGAGTCGTCT